TCAATTTATGAGACATTGTGACACGTTAGACGATTTACATTCTAGAAATTAGAATGTGCTTTTCTTTCCCCATAGAAAAGTCAGACACCTTGGGCTCCAGCTTCGGTTTTCTGACTCCATTCTTAAGAGTCACTGCCCCGAGTTACTCTTTCCCTGTGACGCATCTTCAGTTGAAAGCTGTGGTTATGTGATTATACGTTGGAAAGCTCAGTAGAATGTGCTCTGCAGGCCGTGAAGAACACGAGGTCTGTTGGGAGGGCCTGAAGCAGTTTCACTCCCCTCGTGTTTCTGAGGCCAAGGCCCCTTGGTACTGGGTGCTGCTTCTGGCTGCTCTTAGGTGCAGGTGCTAACACTGCCACACCTGTCCATCAGTGCTTTTTGTTATCAGATGTGACCGAGAGTAAGTGAAGGTTTTTATGGAGAATATCAATAATCACAAGGAAATAACCACACATTCAAAATGGAACTAAAGCTGTGCAGTAGGAGAAAACATATGTGCAATTCCCTAGGGCAAGACATAAATTATAAAAGATACTGAATCAGGCAGCTATACTCATTGTCCGACAGGTAGTATTGCGTATGAAGTGTCAGCAGGAGGCTTCTTCCTCCTCTGGACTCTAGGATTCTTTTAGTAAGAATCCCAGGTAAAGTGATCTTCACAAAAAGTTGTCATAGATCTAATCACAGGCCTTGCTTTTTTTGGGGGGGGGATGCGGGGAGACAGAGTCTTGCTCGGTTGCCTGGGCTGGAGTGCAGTGGTATCGTCATAGCTCACTGCAGCCTCAAGCTCCTAGGCTCAAGTGATTGTCCTGGGACTACAGGCGTGAACCACCACGTCCAGCTAAGTTTTTCTATTTTTAGTTACCTGGCTAATTTTTGTTTCTATTTTTAGTAGACATAGGGTCTCACTCTTTCTTCCTCAGGCTGGTCTTGAACTCCTGACTTCAAATGATCCTCCTGCCTTGGCCTCCCGGAGTGCTGGGATTACACTGAGCCACCATGCCCACCCCAGATTACTTTTTTTAATAGATAGGATGCAGCATAGTCAAATTTGGAGCACTGTGTTATGTCAAGACAGTGCCATGGTTACTTTTTTAACCCTTCATTGTAGGAAATTTTAGGTATGCAACAGTAGACAGACTAGTATAATCAACCCCTCTGTCCTCTCCCATGATGACCCGTGGCCAACCTCCACGTCTCTGCCCCAGGTATTCCACACATCGTGTTTTTTTCCCTGTAAATATTCCAAAAAATGTGCATGAGTATTTCAGTGTGAATCTCTTAAAACGTAGGGTCTCTCTTTTTTTTTTTATTAAACATAACCACGTCATTGCCATATCTGAGAAAATAATTCTTTGGTACCATCACATGTCCTGTCAGTGCTGTTTCTCTGATTATCTGTTTATTTTATTTTTTTATTTTCTTAAAAAATAGTGGGTTTGAATCATTTATCCAAATGAAGCCATAGTTTGGCTAGCACATGTCTTAAGGCTCCTTCTGTGTTGAAGAAGACAGGTGCCTGTCCAGTAATTTCCCACTGCATAAAATCCCGTGGTTCCCTGTCCTTGTATTTGCTGTAAATTTGTGGTAAGGTTTGGGGGCACGATCACATTCTGTTTTTTGCAAACCCACTTCACGCATGGTGCTTGCTGTTGGTGTTTCCATCCCGTGGTACGTGATTTCTGACGGTCTGAAAAAGTATAGGTGCTGTAGGCCGGGCGCAGTGGCTCACGCCTGTAATCTTAGCACTCTGGGAGGCCGAGGCAGGCGGATTGCTCGAGGTCAGGAGTTTGAAACCAGCCTGAGCAAGAGCAAGACCCTGTTTCTACTATAAATAGAAAGAAATTAATTGGCCAACTAGTATATATAGAAAAAATTAGCCGGGCATGGTGGTGCATGCCTGTAGTCCCAGCTACTCGGCAGCTACTCAGCTACTGAGGCAGAAGGATCGCTTGAGCCCAGAAGTTTGTTGCTGTGAGCCAGGCTGACGCCACAGCACTCACTCTAGTCTGGGCAACAAAGTGAGAGACTGTCTAAAAAAAAAAAAAAAAAAAAGAATAGGTGCTGTAGATAGTAAAGGGTTCTTCTAGCTTGGTTTTTCCCCTTTTAGCTGTCGTATCTTATTTTCAAGCAAAGGTGTGTTCTTAAGAACAAACATTTTCTCTTTGAGAATTTTAAACGCCTGGAAGTTAATATTGGTAAAGTGGTCTGCACTGCCTCCCATGACTTGTCTGTCAGTCTGGTTGCTGAGCCATGTCTTCAGTTCTGGGTGTGCACGGTGGTTGTGTCAGAATTGATGTTCATCGCGTGTAAAGGTCTGTCTGTTCTCTCCTGGGAGTGGAAGCCTCTCTCCCTGCTGTGGGGAGGGGAAGGGATCAGAAGTGCCTCTCGGCTCCCGGGTGTTTCAGAATCATCCACTTAGCTTTGAAAAACTACAAGTGTCTGAACTGCAGAACTACAAAATCATAACTTCCTGTAGTGATTCTTCAGTGCATCTGAGGACTGAGGACCAGTGACCTAGAATCTCAGACCAGCTGTTCCCTACATCTGTGTTTCTGAAATTTAGTTACTCGAATTCTACTGTCAAGATTTTTTTGTGTGTCCCGGTAGTATTTATACTAGTACTTAATGTGTTTCCTTAAATGGACTCACTTTTTTGTTTAATTTAACAGAAGACGTTGGTACCACACACATAAAAAGTAGGTACATACACATTAAAATATTTACCTATTAAAATCTAACATAGTTGTCATTTATCCCACATTTGGAAAATAGTGAGACATTGTGAAACTTACTAAAGTTATTTCAAGCATTTGTTTTCTGGTAGTTTACATTTCCAAATCTGTTTTATAGCATTTAGTTTTTTGTGTGTGCTTTTGTGATTTCTGACACACTTTTGACAATTGCATGAGACTGCCTGTGATCCTCCGGTTATTTCGTAAACAAGAGTTTTGAGAATTTGTCACAAGCAGATTATTGAGAATGGGGAGCTCCATTATAGAAATGAAAAACCTTTGTGATTACCTAGAAAGACAAAAATAGTTGTGCTTTTAAATTTCTTTTTGTGGCAGTCTGATACTATGTGTTTTCAGAAGTGCCCCCCCAAAAAATATCACTGGGTTAAATCAAGTTCTTTGTCTTGTCTGTGAAGCAGTGTAGCTTGCCGTGAAAAGAAGACAGGCCTTGAAGTTGGACCTAGATGTCTAGGGGTCCTCATACATACAATTATGAAACTTACCCCTCCGAGCCACAGTTACTTCTGAAGTCATTTGGGAGAATTTGAGATTGTGTGTGAAGTTTTGTGTTAAGCCATTGGGTTGAGCCAATGCCTTGCAAAGACACCTTTAGAGTATTTGTACCACACAGTCAGATTGTTTTTAGTTTCTTATGATTCAGAATTGCGAATTGATGCCTTTTTAATTATTCTTTTTTTTATTTGTCCTGACAGCTATTGTCCTTGAACAAAATGAAATTAATGGGACCAATCAAAAGTGTACAGCAGGTCCCGCCCTGAATAATGTCATTTTGTCGTGTCGTTTTGTCACAGCATTAAGAAAAGAAATCGATTCCCAGCTGGAGCTGCTGTGCGTGTGGAGCTGGCATGTTTTCCCCAGATCTGTGTGGGTTTCCTCCCACATCCCAGAGATGTTCACGTGTTAGCTGCATTGGCATGTCTGCGTGTTCCCTGTCTGAGTGCGTGTGGATGTGTGTGGCAGGCTGGTGTCCTGTCCACGGTGGTTCCCGCCTTGCTCCCAGAGCTGCCGGGACGGGCCCTGGCCACCCACCACCCTGAACTGGAACGAGCAGGTTGGAAAGTGAGTGAATGAATGAGTGATATATATATTTATATAAATTGTGAAATAGAGATTGGTAAGGTCTACAAGCATGCAAACACATGACCATAGACGGCGCAGCCAGCCCCATGTCTGTGTTTGTGTGAGCTGCGTGGAGGGGGAGGTGCTTCTCACAGTCCCCACTTTGCACACGTTTGCTCCCCAACATGACCCAGCTCTGCCATGACCACTGAGGGCACGCACCCGCTCACTGAAAATTGGGTAATTATCTCACTTTCATTAATCTTTCCTAAGTATATGTGTGACTCAAATTTATTTCTGTGTTTGATATCAGAAGTGTTTTGGGTCTTTATTTAGAAGTTTGGTGATGTTTTTGTGACTAGAAGGTTGCTGTAGGAACTTAACACTTGGTTATGCCAGTTAGCCTGTGGTCAGACTGGTTTCATTATGTGTGCTTTCTATTAAAGTCCCCATTCCCAAAACCTTTTTTTTTTTTTTAAGACAGAGTCTCACTCTGTTGCCCAGGCTAGAGTGAGTGCTGTGGCATCAGCCTCGCTCACAGCAACCTCCAACTCCTGGGCTCAAGCGATCCTCCTGCCTCAGCCTCCCCAGTAGCTGGGACTACAGGCATGCGCCACCATGCCCGGCTAATTTTTTCTATATATTAGTTGGCTAATTAATTTCTTTCTGTTTATAGTAGAGACGGGCTCCGGCTCTTGCTCAGGCTGGTTTCAAACTCCTGACCTCGAGCAATAGGCCCGCCTCGGCCTCCCAGAGTGCTGGGATTACAGGCGTGAGCCACCTCGCCCGGCCTCCAAAACCTTTTAAGTGAGGACTTACTGTATATAAATTTGGGATTCATCAAAAATTACATATGTTTTAATTTCTGGAGTTCTATTCATTTTGTAATTTTTGGTATTTCTTTCTTTCTTTTTTGAGACAGGGTCTCACTCTTACCCAGGCTGGAATGTAATGGCCTCATCATAGCTCACAGCAGCCTCAAACTCCTGGGCTCAAGCAATCCTCCCGCTTCAGCCTCCTGAGTAGCTGGGACTACAGGTGCTCGCCACCATGCCCAGCTAATTATTTTATTTTTTTGGAGATGGGGTCTCAGTATGTTGCCCAGGCTAGTCTTGAACTCCTGGCCCCAGATGATCCTCCTGTCTCGGCCTTATAAAGTGCCAGGATTATAGGCGTGAGCCACCACTCCTACCCCTGTGTTTATTTGGTTTTTGATTGTATATATTTAAGGCGTACAGCGTGGTATTTTGATATCATAGTGAAATGGTTGCTGTAGTCAGGCCAATTGATGCACCTATCGTCTCACATAATTACCCTTCTTTTGCATGTGATAAGAGCACCTAAAATCTACCCTGTTAGCAAATTTCCAGTGTACAATATAACTGTAGTTCTCATGTTGTACATGAGATCTTTAGATTTAGTCATCCTGAATATCTGCAACTTTGTACCTTTGATGTATATCTCCCCCTTTCCTACCTTCCTACCGCATGGTGACCTCCACTTTATTCTCTCTTTCTACGTATTCAACGTTTTTTTAATTAGATCGTCCATATGAGTGAGATGATGCAGCATTTGTCTTCTGTGCCTGGCTTATTTCACATAGCATAATGTCCTTCAGGTCCAGCCACACTGCAGCCTGTGACAGGATTTTCTTCTTTGTAAAGGCTGAGTAATCTCCACTTGTGTGTAGCATCATTTCTTTGGCCATTTTTTTGCTGATGGACACTTAGATTGTTTCCGTGTCTTGGTTATTGTGTGTGATGTGGCAGTGGACATGGGTGTGTCAGGTGGTGGACATACAGTCTGGATATATAGTTGAAAGGGATGAATTGGCTAGCTCTTACGGCAGTTCTACTTTAAAATTTTTGAGGGACCTTCCTACTGTTTTCCTTACGGCTACACCAATTTACATTCCCACTAACAGTGCACAAGAGTTCTTTTTCCTTGCCCTCCCCAAGACTTGTCCTTCTGATAATGGTCATCCTAGCAAGTGTGAGGAAATATCACCTTTTCATATATCTGTTGGTCATTTTTATATCTTTGGAAAAATGTCTATTCATGTCCTTTGATCACTTTTTACTCAGGATTTTGTGTGGGGTTTTTTTGTTTCTTTTTTTTTGCTATTGAGTTGTGCAAGTTCCTTATAAATCTCAGATATTAACCCATTAATTTTCTGTTTTTAAAAAAACATGAGTTTCTGGTCATGAGTGGGTTTGTCCGTGTTAGCCCATGATTTCCAAGTTTTCCGCTATGGTCATTGTCACCAAATTGGTGTGAGAAACAGATTTACTTATTAAGAAAGAATTACTTCTTTAAACTACTTAGAATCCAGAGGCATAAACGTGTGTCCTGGAAAACTTGAGGACTTTAAGACCCCTTTAGGAACTTTACTAAGGGTGGCGCGGTACCTCCCAGATGACCTGCTTGATTAACGTCTTTGCCGTTTGCTCCGCAGCATCCGAGGCCGGCACCTCTCTCCTCCAGTGGAGCCCATGACTTCTGACCAGGACGCTAAAGTTGTGGCTGAACCGCAGGCGCAGAGAGTCCAGGAGGGCAAGGACAGCGCTCGTCTGGTGGGTCCCTGGACGGGGGCTGGGGGGCCGGAGTCTCCCGTGCTTGCGATGCAGGGCTCTGCAGTGGACTCGGGGACATCAGAGCAATGACGCTGGAGCAGCTCAGGGTCTTCACGGAGACGCCACAGCTCTGTAGGAGAGAGAATATTGCTCGCCAGTCTGGGGTTCCCGGCTGAGGCACGTGTAACGAGAGACAGATGTGAACAGGAGAAAAGCATGCGTATTTAGTAATCAGTGCTGTGACGCGGGAGCCTTTATGAATGAAGACCCGAAGAAACAGGAACACTCTTTTTTGCCCAGTCTGACGCAGAAGTGGACAGTTGTAGAAAAATGTGACTGGACAAGGGTGTGGTCTGACTGCAGTAAACCAGGGAGGACGGCACTGAGTCTGTGTGTTCACATTTTTCCTGGCGTGTTGGCGTGACATTCCTTTCTTCCCGGTGTGGAGCAGGACCCTCAGGGACCTGTCTTCAGGGGAAGGCCACCAGGTTTCATAGCCCACTCCAGGGGAGCAGGGCTGAGAGACTCTTCCTAGTTTCTCTGGCCTCATCCCGCTGTGCCCCCCAGAGGTCAAGACGCCGCGTTTTGAGGTAGCGTGTCCAAACCCCATCAGTCTGGACAGTGTGGGCAGCTGAGGAGAGGAAACTGCAAGTACTAGGTGGTAGGGAAACAAAACTGAGTTGTGGCTTTAGGTACTTAAAGCTTTGGATTTTTTTTTTTTTTCTTTTTTTTTTTTTTTTTTTTTTTGAGACAGAGTCTCACTTTGTTGCCCAGGCTAGAGTGAGTGCCGTGGCGTCAGCCTAGCTCACAGCAGCCTCAAACTCCTGGGCTCAAAGCAATCCTCCCTGCCTCAGCCCTCCCAGGAGAGCTGGGGCAGCTTTATGGAGGCATGAGGCCGCGCAGCGCGACGCGACGCGCAGTGGGCGCAAGCTTTGACGATTTGTTAAATACGCGCGGGCGACCGAAAAATGCAAGCTGGGTTTATAAATCGCCTCTTACATAACCATCACAACGATCGGAGCGGAAGGTGTGTAGGGGGGGAGGATGGTTGAAGAATGCGAAGAAGCGCCCCGCCCTAATTAGGACCTGTTTAAAATATAACGATGTTTTATTTTTTGACTACTTGTTGGTTCGCGCGCAAGTTTAATATAAATTTTTATCCTGCTCAAGGGCATCAGATATTTAAGAAGGTGTTTGTGCGAAGAGATGGCTTGTGTTGGGAAAAGTAGCTTTTCTTGAATTTCTCCCCTGTTAAAACTAATTAAGGAGATGGTTTGAGGCTGTTATCGCGCGCAGGTCGAGAAGTTGTTGAGGAAATCTAGAGAGATGTTTAAGGGGTTCCTACGGAGCATTCTGAGGATAGGTCCTGGATGGAGATTGCCTGGAATGTTGGCACTGTAACCACATACACCATGCAAATAATTTCTACAGTGGAATTTCGTTTTGGAGTTAATTTTACTGTTGGATTTAAAAGTGATGATTTTCTGTTACCCATGTAAGTAGAGAATGGTATCTGTGTGTGTTTGTTGTGTCAAGGTGTTGTGACTCAGGAGTGAAGAGTGGGGGTCACTATATCTCAAACCACTTCTTCAGATCACAGTCTCCATCCCCAACGCTTGAGATCAGGGGTAGATTTCATTTACCTTTCTAGCCGATCTAATCACCAGACTTCTTCAATCCAAAAGCATGAAGTTCGGGGGGTAGGGGGAAGGTGGGGCAGGCTTTTCTATGGGGAAAGGCGCGTGTAGAAGAAATCTGGTGCCCCGCTTCACCCCCCCACCAACCTCACATCGCCCCCCGCAACTATAACAAAAAAAAAAAAAAGAAAAGAAAAAAACAACAGCTGACAGTTCACAGATTGTATTTTTCTTGAGATATCAAGGGGTGCAATGGTTAAATAAAAAGAATAAATGAGGAGTAATGGTAGTATATGTTTTCTCAAAATGGTGAGAATGGGGGATCCTCATTCCTTTACTGCACCCCCAGGTGTCGGAAGTGTCCTTTCCTGGCATGTCTGTGTGGTTTAGGGACACAGTTCCAGCAACAGCAGTGTGCCCCGTGTGCTAATTTATTGTCAGATAGTCGTCGCAGCATTTAATGGATCGCTGACACTCTTGCATGTATACGATCAGCTTTACATATTGATAGCCTGTGTTCTTTAAGGCCCACAACTTCTTATTTAATTATTTTTTATTCAAATACACTCTAAGTCCTCCAAGGGCCCACAACTTCTAATAGGAAGCTTTCACCTAGAATATTTGTTTCAGGCTGGGGGCAGTAATTACAGCTCACGGCTGTAATCTTAGCACTTGGGGAGGCCGAGGCGGGAGGATTGCTTGAAGCCAGAGTTCAAGACCAGCCTGAGCAAGAGCGAGACCCCGTCTGTACAAAAAATGCAAAAATTAGCTGGGCGTGGCGGCACACGCCTGCAGTCCCAGCTACTCGGGAGGCTGAGGCAGTAGGATTGCTTGAGTCCAGGAGTTTGAGGTTGCTGTGAGCTAGGCTAATACCATGGCACTCTAGCCTGGACAACAAAGTGAGACTCTGCCTCAAAAAAAATGAAAATAAAAAAAGCAAAGATAATTTGTTTCACGTTTTAGCTGTGACTGTTCTGTCTGAGTGGTAGTCTCTCGTGACATGGGAACCAGGAACAACAGCTTCTCTCAACTTTTAGAATATTCTGTAATTTCTTAAAAAAATTGGTAATTTTACTACTTGCTATTTGTGTCATTTGGAGTATTACAGTTTCTTGCAAACTCTTTTTCATTTTAGGGTTGTATATTCAGTTTAAGTTCTGCAAGGCATTTTGTTCAACAGTTGATTTACAGATCAACTTCGAGTGGCGTCACTGTGCAAACAGCTGCACTGAGAGAGCAGTCAGACCAAGGGGGAGGGAGTGACCAGTGTGTTGCAGCTGGTCACTTGGTAGGCTGGGGACTCTCGCATGCGTGTTGAGGTACAGTGCGTATGAGCAGGCACACAGATCACAAGCGTGTGGCTCAGAGAGTTTTGTGAAATAAACATAGGCAGGGACTCTGCCAGCTAGATCCTGACACAGAACATTAGCACAGCCCTCTGAGTTTTGGCACTCATTTGAAGACATACTGTGATTGTAGAAATTGTGAAAATAGGAGAATGTATGAGTTGGGGAACGTTTGCAGACAAGACACCTGAGAGTCTCATCAGAAGAAGGGCCAACTGTGGTGCCGTGTGTGGTTTCCCAGACGGTCAGGCTGTGTGGCTGGTTTGGACTGCTTAGGCCACATTGCTTGGTCGCTGCAGACACCTCCTCACTGGTGCCCTGACCCCCTCCTTCCTGACGGCGGCCAGAGGGTCCCTTCAAGAAGGCCAGGCCAGGCCCTGCCTTCCTGGGCCACAAGTCAGAGTCAGCTGAGTCCCAGTGGGTCCAGACCCTCTGCAGTCTGGCGTCTGCTGCAGTCCACGAACACCCCCACAAGGCTCTCCGCCTTGGCTGGTCTGGGCGCTCCCCTTCCCCAGGGGTCTCCGATGCTCCATCGCACACCCCTACAGCTCTCGGCTCACGTCAGCTCTTCTCCTCACCTCTGACTGCCCCAGGCTTCTTACCCTGTGGCAGGTAGCACTTTCTTACCTTGTTAGGTGTCTGAGCGTTCAGTTCTGTCTCCCTGGACTAGAGCACAAGCTCCATCAAAACTGGGGTCTGGTTTTGTTTGTTGGATGTCTCAGGGTCCACCTGTAGATGACTCCTGCTCAGTACGTGTCTCCCACGAGAGAACATATCACATGTGGTGGCGGCCACAGCCAACCACACGGCACTTACCATGCACTGTTCTAACACTTTGGTGCTTTAACTCCTAATTCCCATTAGGGTATACCTGTGATACCCCCAGGTGCTGTTACCTCCATTTTACTAATGAGGAAACCAAGGCACAAAGAGGCTTAAATAATTTTCCTAAGGTAGCTGAATTAGAAAGGGACAGAACCAGGAGTTGAACCCAGGCCACAGTATTGGGGGGTGTGGCCAAATAAGAGGTGATCAGGTCATTAGGGCAGAGCCCTCGTGAGTGTGTTAGTGCTGCTACGGAGGGAGCAGGCTGGTTATACCAGGGAGTAGGCTAGTTTACACAGGAGCATGCTGGTGATACCAGGGAGTAGGCTAGTTTACACAGGAGCAGGCTGGTTATACCAGGGAGTAGGGTAGATTACACGGGAACAGGCCAGCTGTGCGCTGGAGCAAGCCGGCTGTACGTGGTTCAGCCACAGCTCTTTGCGTGGCGCTGTCTTGCCGCTTCCTTCTGCCCTGGGATGACGCACGCAGCACAAAGGCCCTCCAGAGGCAGACCTCGACCTTGGCCTTCCAGCATCCAGAACTGCTCCTTACTCGTCACCCAGCCTCAGGGACTCTGTCACAGCAGCACAGAGCGGACCACACGGTTTCCTGGTTTGGGTACTAGAAGGTGTAGATTTATTTTTTTTCTCTTTTTCTTTCCTTTTTTTAATTGGAATTTTCTGACATCTGTGGAAGTGCAGAGAATAACATAATGAACCCTAACGCACCCTTATGAACTTGCACAATTACCTACTCTTACGTTGCTCTGCTCTTGTTTTTTCTTTTCCTCCCTCTGTGCACGTGTTTAAAATTTTTATGTATGTATGTATATATTTACTGTATTTCTTGGAGTATTTTATAGCAAATTTTAGACAATGTGTCCTTTTCTCATAAATACTTCAACGTTCCTCTCTGACACCATTCAATTTGCATGCCTGACAAAATTAGCAATGGTTCCTTAATACTCAAGACGTTATTCCCTAAAGCTAGACAATCAGGTACAACTGTAAGTATACATTTTAAGGAAAAAGTTTCTGATACTGTTTTCCTTTTGGGGCATTCGCATACTAACTTCTTTGGTTGCCTCCATCCCATGACAAGTAATTTCGAGAGTGCTGAAACACTACAGAAAAACCAGAAGCCTAAGATCCTCCTTCTGCCTGGGATAATAATTTTCGCTATTTTTTATTGAGTTTATGAGAATATGAACGAGTGATCTGCAGCGTCCTTTTGCTGCAGTGTGAGCCTGCGGATCTCCGAGCTGTCTGGATCGTAGCACAGGCAGGACGAGGGCCGTCAGGCTGGGCTCTGTTGCCGTCAGGGTCTGGATTTGAGTGGCAGGAGCATGTGACCACTGTGCGAGGGCTATTTTTGGTGTCTGGGTGTTGGCTGCCCCCAGGAACCGCAGCAAGCTAGTGTGAGGTGTGTCTGTGGACGCTCGGAAGACGGCAGGCACCGCGATGAGTTTCTGAACTTTGAGACATGGGCTGTTGCTTCAGCAAAGAGTCAAGCAGCGACAATGATGATGAAAAAGCTGGCCTGTTACAAAAATCTGTGGAGGAGAAGGAACGGGAGAACAGGATAAGTAAAACTTTGTCTTCATTATTTAATCCCCTTGGAGGCGAGGAGCCCCACCATGTCGACAGTGGTGCCAGCAGGGCGGCTGGGGGCCCCGGGGCGTGGCCTGGAGCCCGGGCGAGGCCTGCGTGCTGGCAGGGGCATGGACCAGCGCAGGCTCTGAGCTCTGTCTCCTTCCTGACGTGTAAGTCCTTAACGAAGTACGAAACCTTAGGTGAGAGTGGCAAGAATTCAGGTGCTGTTACTGAGCAGGACTCTGAGAGTGCATGTGACTTGCCGTGTGTGGGGGACGGTCCCCTCTGCCGTGTGCCGGTGCGTTCTGACCAGGGCCTACAGGGAGAAGCTTGCGTGAGTGGCCATTGCCCGGCTGCTTGTGAAACCTCTTTAACAGAGAGAGAAATAGGGGTCAGCGCTCAAATCAGCAGCAGTCGCAGTGGGAGTGACCCTTTAGCCATCTCTGCCAGGGAGAAGAAAGATGGAAACCCTGTTTCTGTCGGTGACCGGCAGCGCGAGGATTCACGAGAGCGAGTGTTGTACAGCATCTGTGCTGTCGGCCCTGACTGCCTGCCCCCGTGGAGGGAGCAGGGCACCCCCCTGGACCAGGCAGCTGCCGGGGGCAAGCGTCGCTCAGCTGTCCCTTCCCAGGGGACTTGGAAAGCTGACTGGCCTCCGGGTAGCGAGGAAGAGTGTCCAGTTTCGCACGCCACCCTCGGGGCAGGAGGGTCAGAACCACCTCGGGAAGAGCTCTCACACCAGGACACGCTGGGTCCAGATGAAAGGAGGGGAGTGTCCAGTGAGAAAACCAAGCCTAGTTCTGAGCTTCTGACGGACACCCACGCACCTGGTGGTGAAGCAGACGTTGGTGACAGGCCAGCCGAGGCCTCAAGGGCAAAAGCTTGCACTGGATTCCCTAAAGATCACGCAGAAAGTCGTATGTTACATAATGTTGTTGGCCCACGTCCTGGATCAAATAGTAACACGCTCGGTGACTCACCAAAATGCACGTGTGCCCTCCCCGAAGACAGAGAGAGCCACAGTTCAGGAATAGGAAGTCAGGTGGGTGACTCACCTCTTAGCTTTCTCAGCAACACTTCCTGTGTTGGAGGGAGTGGTGGACCTGGGGCGGTGACAGCTGGTGTCGACCAGCACTCGCACTCTGAGAAGGGAGGAGACGGCAGCTCTGTGAAACCTCCGCACGACAATGACTGTTTCCATTTGGATGTGAGCGGATCAGAGAGTGTCCTTTCCGTCGGTCTAGACAGAATTAACTTAAGTCCCATGAGGTTTACCACTTCCGTGAACTGTGGACGTGAGCGTCTCTCAGTTCGTGCCAACTTCAGAGAAGCAGCCCCCAGTGGACTCTCGGGCCCCGAGCCTGAGCACCTCCTGAGGCCAGCGCTGAGGGAGGGGCCGGGCCCAGGGGACGGTGGCCTGGAGGCCAGAACTCCGCCGGCAGGCAGAGGAGAGCTGCCTCTGCATTCTGGAGATGGTGCCTCTCGTTCCCAGGAGGGCAGGACTGTCCTGGAGGCCGCGGGCCACGGTGGGCGGGCTTCTGAGGTGCAGTCTTGGGGTCAGGGTCTGGTAGGGGTGTGTGCGGGCCGCGGGAAAGGGGAGGCTCTAGCCTGCATCTCAGGACTCATGGGGTGTGTCCAGGGGGGAGGCAGCCCCAGACGCAGAAGAGCACAAGGAGCGCCCCCACACAGAGTCTCCCCGGGTCAGTGCAGACCTGCTCCGGGAGACCACGTGTCCTCCGTGTGTGTGTTCACCCGTGCAGGTGAGGGAGGGAGAGAAGCGGGCCTGGAGGGTAACACAGAGAGTGAGGTACGTGTGCAGAGTCCAGTTAGGGTCTCCCACGACCAGCCGAGCGACTCCCACAGGTTAGAAAATGCTGGAAAAGAATCACTAAGAGCTGATCATAGTGAGAGAAGTGAAGGTGACATAGCAAACGTCAAGTCAGATTCTAACACAACCTTTGAGTGGGAAACAGGCATGCTAGGACTTAGCAGGGCAGTGCCCGGTGAGGATGCACTGGCTGACATGAGTTCCGGCTTAACAGACAACCCTGACTTTGAGACTGATCTAATGGAAACAAGCCAGGAGACCCACAGGGTGAATGACTGCACGTGTGAAGATCTCAGTGCTGTCCTGCATTTAAGCCAGAGCTCAGATTCAGCCAAACAGGAGTCGGGAGTGGCGGAGAGGAAGCCTGTTAATAGTGGCGAAGGCCCGGACCTGAGGCACATTGACTCCGAATCACCTGAAGAAGTTTCTGGTGCCTTTGGAAATCACGTGTCGGGGTTGAGTACACTAAAACTAACGTGTAAAAACCAGGATAGACTTCATTTGGAGAAAGACAACATCGATCCTGTCATTACTGACTGCCTGGGCTCACCTGGAGCAGACGAACGTGCCTGCCGCTCTGAAGAAGGACATGCCCAGCCCACCATCAAAGAGTCTGCTCTACGCAGTGAGTTGGACTTTGTGGGAAATTCGAGGATAATCTTTGGAAGCGTGGAGTTACATGGCACGTGTTCCTGTTCAGCTGGTGTCGAGCCCACCCAAGCGGACAGGTGTGCAGCTTGCAGGACACCTCAGGTGGTTCCTGGCGTCACAGCTGACAGCAAAGGAACTGCAGTACCAAGTAGCGACTGTGTGTTATCACTCACAGAAGGCATCTTAAATGTGTCTGAAAATCCCTCAGAAGTGAACTGGCAGAGTTTCCCAGAAGAATTCTCCCACTTTTTGAACGGACTTTCCTTTTACCCAGCGGGAGGATTGGCAAACCAGGTATTTTCTGAACAGCTGGCGGATGGCTGTGGCGGGTGCCCCATGGACTACCTCTGGACGGACGCGGCCACGGAAGGGCTGCTGGAGGATGGGCGGAGGTCTGTGGAGGCTGCACTCGGCCAGCCGTGGGCCTGGGCCACCACCCCGTTCCTGCTGGAGAAGAGCCCCGAGGAGCCACCAGAGTCAGAGGATGGCATGGTCTGGGGCTGGCAGAGCGGAGGTGGACAGCTAGTAAGTGTGTCTCCTCAGTGTGTGTTCTTGTGCTATGATCTGCCGTTCTTCACGCTTTGATTGCTTTTGACTTAAAATTAATGGAGACTTACTCTAAACAGTGGGCATGTGTTTGGATGTTCATATAAGGCTGTGAACTACAGCAGCATCCATTGAACAGCTTCTGAATTGGGGACCATGAACTCCCTGCCTGGTGCGTTTAACTCCTGCTGGTGCCAGAGCACGCCCTGCCAGTCGCCCCGCACAGCGCCGCTGCGTGGGCCGCTTGTGCGTGTAGCCGGCCTCGAGGGCTCCCCGAGGGATCTTGGCCTGTGGGCGGAGTAGTGTGCTGCCGCCAGCGCTTGATCCTGCTGAATGTGTCAGTCCCACTGCAGAATATAAACTTGTTTAAAATCTGCGCTTTTAGGTTCTTCTGTGTGTGTCTAAGGCGGGTCAGAGTCGCTGCTTTTAGCTGGCTCCAAAATCTTGGTGGTTTTCTTTGTGGGAGTCACCAGGGAGCTCTGTCTCAGGTCCCTGAGCTGGGGCTGGCCCCTCTGGGCGGAAGAAGCTCCACAAATGATTCTGTGGGCAGCGAGTTTGAGCCTCTTTCTAGAAAATCTGTAGTAAATGCAGACACTCTTCAACAGGAACTCAGTTTTGCTCATGAAACAGCCATGTACCAAAGCAGTGTGACTAAAAAGACATAGTGGTCACAGCAAAATCTCGTGTGTTCAGCCAGTGCGTTAGTATCAGTGACTTCTGTGACATCGGGCAGGAAAAACTGTCGATGTTGTTAAGGAGGCAGATGTGGCTCAGATGTTAGTGCCTGAGAGTAAACCAACAGAAACTCCACCCTGTGGTTGAAGGAGCTGCCCCGTTAGCCTCTTTTCTTCCCATATTCACGTGGGGCTTTACTGGAGAGATTCACACTCAGATTCATCAGCTTTGCTCCTTAAACAGTGGTGGAGGCAAAACGCTATAAAAAGTAGGCCTTTACAATAATACACATATAATCTTTTACATAAGTGGGTATGATTAGCAGTTGGCTAATGTCACTGCTTAGAACGTCAGCCTAGAGTGCAAATGCTTTCTGTTGATCTGCGCTTAGCGGTTTAAATTAGCAGGCGTTACCGCATTTAATGATGGTTCCTTGCTTTTCAAAATTCCAGTTTTCAAAGTACTGTTACAGACAGTAGCAGACATCTTTTTATACTAAGTCTTGCATATAGCAGCTGTTACTACGTTTTACAAAGACCCAGAAGTCGACACTTGCCTGGTTCTGCCGTCAGCGAACTCCAGATTACTCACTTCTTGGTGCGACTCTGTGGTGCTTACTTGGAGTTTCTTTCCCCCATTGTCTTACCCGTTTTATAGTCTTCACCTACCTGTCCCTTTTCCCTGGTATTAGTTTATCTAGTTCCTACTCAGTAGCTTGTCAGGGGGACCATTCTGTCTCATGTCCATAAAATACAAATGTATTCATTGATACGTTATTTCTTTAAATGGAGCAGAGTGTTCTGGGTGTGACCACCTAGGCGAGCTTGCTTCTGGTTTTAACCAGCTTTGCTTAGCCATAAATTATCAGTGGAAAAAGAAGATTTATCTAGCCAAGCATGTGACACCAGGGTTCTTGATGATTATTTGGGTCCTATGGCTATAAGAGAATAACCCTATTTTAAAGAAGTGGTAGTAGATTTAGGTCTTTGTTTAATATAAATTCTTTCTCATGCGAAGTTAATTAACTCTTGGTGAATATTGTGTTTTGCTGAACACAATTTTCTAATTACCATCATTTTTGTGGACAAAATGCCTTGATTTTCTTACTTGTGAAATGGAGCCGTCGTGACTACCTCCCAGGCTGGCTCTAATTCAGTGCAGGTAAGTGCGTAGGATGGGCGGGCGCACAGTGAACCCTCCAGTGTTACAGTAGTTGTCGGTCGTTAGGTCCTCATCACAACACAGTCTCCGCCCTGTCATTCCTGGTCAGGTCTCTCTTCCCTCAGTGTGCATTGCATGCTGGTTAACTGCCTAGAATTGTACTGAGTTTCCGATACTCGAGTTGGACTTGTTTACTGCTTGGGAGGCAGTAGTAGCTTAAGGGTAGAGTCCCATTCATTTGTGGCATAAAACCTCACACAGGTTGTCGAACAGTGGAAAGTATCAATGTCGGCATGGTTACTTTATTCAACATTGGTTCATTCAGCAGGTACATCCAGCACTTCCCCACGGAGGCCAGGGCCGCGCCAGGTATGGGCGACACTGTGCGAGCCACGCCTGGGGAGCACAGACGGGCTCCGGCCAGGGAGACCTAGCGCTCAGAGTGCTGCCTGTGGCCCCTTCACTTCCAGGACAGCGTGTAATCCGTGTTAAAAAACCATAAAATGAGGGGGGGAAATGGGCATTTATTGAAACCTTAAAATCTGTACCCCCATAATATGCCGAAATAAAAAAAAAAAAAGCCAGTCTCACTTAGGACTGCCCTTGATGAAGCAATAAAAAAAATCAATTAAAAAAAAAGCCATAAAATGTATTTTGGCAGTACAGGACAGTCAGCTGGAGAAGGTGCTAAAAATAGAAGAGATTGATGTTGGTAGGTGTTGGGAGTCTAAGGAACGTGTAGCATGTACTTGAGATAAGGGAGTTGGCCAAGTGGGCGGAGGGCCCTGGAGCAGGAAAACTGGGCTGTGTGCTGGGTCTAGTGAGAGAGAGGGAGGGTACGGAAATACTGGAGTGGGAAAGAGAATGGAGGAATGGACTTTCAAAAACAGCAAAGCAGGTTGGAAAGGCGTAACGCTGACAGGTGGTGCTGTGGGAGACCAGGTGTCTCCCACACCTCCCGTGTTCCCGGCGAGCTCGAGTCTGCCGTCCTCTGCCGTGTCCCGGTGCTCACCACCGTGTCTGGCAGCAGCCGCCTCCTGGGCATTCCGGAGGCGCTGGCCGGAGAGCTGGACGGACGAGAGAGGAGAGCAGCTAACCCTGCGCAGAAGCAGAGGCCAGAAAGGAGCTGACGTTCGGGTGCAGTGTGAGAAGAGAGACCGAAGAGTCGGGGTTTCGGCATAATAGTCCTGAAGGAACCCTGTCCTTTGGCCTGTCACGAATATTTAGACCAGGGGTCCTCAAACTTTTTAAACAGGGGGCCAGTCACTGTCCCTCAGACCGTTGGAGGGCTGTTGGAGAGCACGGCGCACACTCCACACATGCCCACTGTGGGCCCGGGATGAGTCGGCTGCTAAGCAGGACAGGCAGCCGCGGCAAAAACACGCAGCAGGCTGGATAAATGTCCTTGGCGGGCCACAGTTTGAGGACCCCGGAGGGACAAATAGGAAGAATTCAGATAGGTCCTCGTATGAGCATCTGGCTTTGTGGGAGTGATGCTTGCTTCTCACCCGGTAACGAGAAGAGCAGGAAGCACGAGTTACCCGAGGCACGAGCAGTGTGCACGCTGTAGTTGTAACCACGGCAGCTTCCACTGTCTCAGAAGTCCTTTCGGTGTTTACTGCAGCCGGTCACTGAGCCAGCAGGGGTCTGCTCATGTGCCTGCTCCTTTGATGGCCCACGATGGCGCTCCTGACCCTCTCCTGTGTCTGGCTCAGGGGGCCCTGCCTGTGCTGTCCTCCTCGCAGCCGCTGCCCTGGGGCCAGGGTCCTTGCCCTGCCTGTGGCAGCTCTGGCTTCCTGCACCACGGTGTGAAGGGCAGTGATTTGTCTGGGTCTCTTGGAGGATTGTGGTGGCAAAACTGGAGTCAGAGTGACTTTCCCTTAGAACTTGGGCGGTGTCCAGGGCTCGTGAGCAGAGGACAGGCTTGCGCCAGAAAAACTGGGAGTGGGGAGGATCCACACGGTGGGGGCCTGCTGTGGGTTTTGCAAGACTCGCCAGGAAAGACTGCCAGCCCCTGGGGGGAGGGGAAGGTGTGAGCTATGTGGCCTTCTGGGCAGACGGGATGGAAAGAGCGGCATGTTCAGAGACAGCACGGAGGTCAGCGCGCCTGGGAGTGGACAAGGCCAGAGCAGCAGCCTGGGGCATGGGGGAGGTGGTTGTGGCCGCCGTGAGAGCATCGTCCTCGGCTCTGAACGAGCCAGGCAGCGTGGAGGGTTCTGAGCAGAGGACTGCGACCTCTGACTTGCTGGGCTCCCTGACAGGGCCTGCTGGTTGCCTGGCGGAGACCAGGAAAACCCGTTTTCGCAAGAGAGGTTTTCAGAGTCGAGTGACCAGCTCCACATCACACGGCGGTCCGTGACAGAGCTGGGCTCGGCTGCGTCCAGAGCACCAGGATCACCAGCAGCTTGTCCTGCGGCAGGACTGGAAATCTGTGTTTCACGAAAGGGCCAGAGATGACATTGAGGCTCTCACGGGAACAGGAATAAGTAGTTCTTTTGAAAGTGAGAGGTGCTGTGTCTCCTTCCTCAGTGGATGCTTTGGCTTCCTCTGGTCTCCCAGCGGCCTTGCCGGACCAGAAGACCTTTGCTCTTAGGAGCAACTTTCATTTTCTACACTTTTTGCTTATGTGAAGTTTTTGTTTTGTTTTGTTTTGTTTTGTTTTGAGACAGAGTCTTGCTCTGTTGCCCAGGCTAGAGTGAGTGCCATGGCGTCAGCCTAGCTCACAGCAACCTCAGACTCCTGGGCTCAAGCGATCCTTCTGCCTCAGCCTCCCGAGTAGCTGGGACTACAGGCATGCGCCACCACACCTGGCTAATTTTTTCTATATGTGTTAGTTGGCCAATTAATTTTTCTATTTATAGTAGAGATGGGGTCTCGCTCTTGCTCAGGCTGGTTTCGAACTCCTGACCTCGAGCAATCTGCCCGCCTCGGCCTCCCAGAGTGCTAGGAGTTTTTGAAGATTTATAGTTAAAAACTTACACATCTGCATTACATTCAAATCTGTAAATCTGCGAACTGTGATTTTATTAGGTAGGCAGTTCGGGAAATCGGCAGTTGTTTGCCAGTTGTGCAGTGGGTTAGACACTGGAGTCTCGGTGAAGCAGGGTGGCACCCTCATTTCCCTCCTTTTGCAGAGCTGTGGGCTCAGGCGGAACTCAGGGACCTAAACGGAAATTAAAGCAGTTCTGATGGTATCAGGCATTTCTTTACTTTTCTGCCTGATTTCACCCTAAAGGTGTGAGTAACAAGATTGGCTCAGCCTTTTTAGCCTAAATTCTCTTAACATACACATGTTTCTAACTCTGCCTTCATAAAAGAGATGTTTTTGGCTGAAATCTGGGTACAAATGCACATATCAAATCTTTTCCTAGGTGCCAGCCAAGGTTTCAGAGCTCAACCCTAACGCGAAAGTATGGGGGACCCACGTGCTACCCGTGGCAGCGAGTAGCGTGGCGGATGGCGTGAGCGCTGCGTGGGAGGACCGCGGCCCGCAGGGTGAGTGGGGCGTGGCGGGCCGTGCTGCCCTCAGGTCCTTCCCCTGTTCCATCCGGGTCTGCGCTCGCCGCACGGGCTGTGCGGTGCGGGGCACAGGAGAAGCTGCAGGCCTTTTACAGCCCAGCGGAAGAAGCCCAGTGACTACGCCGCTTATTCTGTTTTGAGGAAAGTTCTTCTAACCCTGCCTTTTGGGGTAAAATCCCTAATTTTAGGGTTGGACGCCAGCTGCGATGGTGACAAAGGCCATGAGGATGTGGCGGCGCAGGAGTTGGAGCAGACAGACATGAGCACGCTGGCTCTGGGTCCCTCGGAGTGCGAGTCTGCGCCTGAGAGCAGCGAGGCCGGTAAGCTCTTCTGTGGACCGCTTGCCTACGAGTCTGGGCGGCTTGTCTTTTCCTCTCTAGCTGACTAACCGATGTGCCTTTCGCTGCCTCCTGTCAGTTCTACTTTGAACTCTCATGGGAGGCAGAGCTGAGAGGCCCCGTCAGGGACAGCGTCCTGGAGAATGTGAGACCCGAGTAGTTCCAGAAACTGGACCCATTTACCAGGAGAGTCGGAAGGTCGCAGTGTGGACGGGGTGTTGGTGCTGGGATTGCGAGGAGACAGTTTGGGTGGGGGGACCCGGACACGGAGCAGTGGCCGTAGGAGTGGAGGGGAGCGGGTGGTGGGGAAAGGAGAAGGGACCCGGACACGGAGCAGTGGCCGTAGGAGTGGAGGGTAAGTGGGTGGCGGGGAAAGGAGAAGGGGACCTGGACATGGAGCAGTGGCCGTAGGAGTGGAGGGGAGCGGGTGGTGGGGAAAGGAGAAGGGGACCTGGACACGGAGCAGTGGCCGTAGGAGTGGAGGGAGCGGGTGGTGGGGAAAGGAGAAGGGACCCGGGACACCGGAGCAGTGGCGTACGGAGCATCCGGAGGGGAGCGGTGGTGGGCGGAAGGAGAGGGGACCGGACACGGCAGCATGGCCGTGGAGTGGAGGGGGAGCGGTGGTGGGAAAAGGAGCAAGGGGCACCCGACACGGAGCAGTGGCCGTAGAGTGGAGGGGAGCGGGTGGGGGGAAAGGAGAAGGGACCGGACACGGAGAAGTGCCGTAGAGTGGAGGGGAGGGGTGGTGGGGAAGGAGAAGGGGACGGAATGGAGCAGTGGCCGTAGGAGTGGAGGGGGAGCGGGTGGTGGGGAAAGGAGAAGGGGACCTGGACACGGAGCAGTGGCCGTAGGAGTGGAGGGGAGCGGGTGGTGGGGAAAGGAGAAGGGACCTGGACACGGAGCAGTGGCCGTAGGAGTGGAGGGGGAGCGGGTGGTGGGGAAAAGGAAGGGACCCGGACATGGAGCAGTGCCGTAGGAGTGGAGGGGAGGCGGGTGGTGGGGAAAGGAGAAGGAGGACCTGGA